ATTGACCGCTTCCAGTCGCGCCTTGACCTCCGTCAGCTCGGCAATCACATTTGCCACAATAGTGGGATCCACGCCAACGTCGGCACTTGCTCCGGAACGTGCGCCCCTGTTGCCCCAGTTACGAATACGAGGAACGCGAGGTGGCAGACCGTTCTTCTGAGCTTGGAGTGGTGGAAATTTGTCCGGGACGAGGTTGAAGTTCCGATCCACAGCGAGGTCAACCACAGTAGGCTGACCTCCATTTCCTGTGACGGCTCAGCCGGAAGATGGAGTTCGGGCACATGTCCCTCAGGTAGCTGGCCTGTAGATAGGTAAACCACGGGTTGGTGGCCTCGTCCAGCAGTAGAGGTTCCCGCCAAATGGTTCTCTGTCTACCCACATAATCAAAAGCAAAATATTTAGCCAAATCAATAATTCCTCACCCAAAGGTCAATACTCATTGCAGCCATAGAGCGAGCTGCAACAGAATAAGAGTTTATTGATATAATTAAACAACTTTCCTCTCCATCAAGAAATAGTCAAGTCAATGATAACGAAGAAAATCAAGATGAAGAGAATTTGTCAACTTCATCAGACGTATCTACTCACAACAAACAAATCAATAAAAGATAAGATTCCAATCAATCTCTGAATCAGCGTCTAATACCGACAAACTCTCAATCAACCTTGAAGTCTGCCAAGAGCTTTATCAAAATAAAGTTTGTCTTTTTGTAAAGGTGTTATATGTAGCTAGACACCTAGCGTCTCGTTTTGTAAAGGTATTGAATGTAATCTTAATAACTCAACACCGAGCGTCCTATGTGTTTTAGTTAGTTTCTATGTGTTGTACTTTGTTTTTATGTAATGGCTACGTATTGTAATTTAGTCTGTCAGAAGTTAAAAACTTGTATACAAGAGTATAGTAGTTCCATGAACAATCCTCTCACCTTTTTTGTCTGGGTGCACACAAGAAAGTCCCATCATCAGCATCCTTTCCATTTCCACCCCTTCAAACTTCCCCATCAACCGTCGAATCAGCAGCCTCAATTAGTTTCCCCTTTTTCCACAGGTCCCAGACCCAGTCAACAACCACAATTCCATTATCATCAAGAGGCCTTCTYCCCGTTGCCACCTCTAACACTACCACACCAAAGCAAATACTTTACATGTGTTGTACTTTAAAGCTTCCTACCCAACTACAAAGGAAGCTTGTAGTTGCACAAAAAGACCAAGGTTAGAGAAAAGAGTGATCTTAAGTTTGTAAAAGGGAACAATGCTCAAGCTTTGAATAAAATATTCAATTTCCAAATTTTGTCTTCTTCTTTCAAGTAAGTTTAATTTTGCTTCTTTATTTACCAATTAAATTCAAAAGCTTTTATTATTTTCGGTGCCTTCTTATCACCGCACATTATTTCAAATTCCAATGCCACCAAGCTATTGCATCCATCACACATATTCATGATCTATCATTTGTTTTTATTGTCCATACATCCATCCATCTCCATTAATATTGTATCATAAACCAAGAAACATTTATACTTAGATTTTTTTTTTTTCAAATCAAATTGAACAATTCTTTCCTTTTTAATATATTTAATAGATAACTTTAAATACAAGAAACCAATTAGCAAAACCAACCAATTACATCAAAGTATAAAATTTTCACATTCTTCTATTTAAGTTAAACTAAGTATATTTTTTAGTACATCAAATGTATGATAGGAGACTGAACCTTTTGACCTTCGGAGAATGAATAAGCTAACCTAAACTCATGTTGCCAGTTAACCAGTTATTCAATTCTAAAGTTAATTAGTTATTAAATTTTAAAAAGTTAATTATATGCTGCCTAAACTATTTTAATATTTTATTTTTCCAAAAATAATAATGGCAACATTACAAGAAATGTAAAAAGAAGTAAAAAAAAAAATGTAATTACAAATTTGATTAAAATTAATTTAAATAAAAAATTTCATTAACAAATTTTAAAAATCATAGCTATTTACCTTTATAATTATTTCAATAATTAGCTAACCATAAAAATGATACTATATATACTTGATGGCTAGTCAAGTGGATTGCTTACTCAAGGTTACATTATTAGAAAAGTCAATGAATTGATGAGATACTTCTATCACTGAGTAGTAAAGTTTAATATTAAAAACTCAGTATACCACAAAATTCAAGTCATTTTAACATTTCTCATCTTCTTTTTATCATTAACTTATAAGTGTTTTAATAATTAGTCAAATAGATTGCTTACTCAAGGTTATATGAATTAAATTACTAAAAAAGTCAATGAATTGATAAGAGACTTGCACAATTTAAAACTAAAAATCAAGATATGTCGTTGTCCGTAATATTTATCTTCAGACTTCGATGATCAAAATGGAAAGGACTCCACAACATTCAATTCATTTTACCCTTTATTATTTTCTTCTTTTTATCATTTAATTCAAAATACAAAAATATCATTTACAAATTTATATAATTATTTAATGATTAATTAATGCATTCACAATTTTAATTATCGATTTGTCAAGTCAGTTGCTTTGGAATTAAATTAGTAAAAGGAATTAATATCACAGGTAGCACAATCTAAAATTGAAAAGTAAAATACATTCCTTCCTTAAAACTGAAATTGAATAGTGGGAATAGAGTAATAAAAGCGTATTAGAAATTTTCCATCTGTTGAAGACACTAATGGTAGTTTGCTATGAGGGATCATTTAGAATTAGTTTCTGAAGAATACAGATTAAATTGTTATATTCTAAAACCTAAGGACCGAATGAAATTTTCAATCAGAGATAAAATATATATATATATATATATATATATAATTTTCTGTAAAATATAAGCAGAAGACTGATATATCCTTACCGGAGAAAAAAAGAACGGATATACCTTTATAGGAGAATTAAAATTGATCAAACTTAGAGAATCTCAACTTGAATACAAAATCAATCTAAACATATTCTATATGAAAAACCCACACACAATCTCACAAAAATACATAGAAATACACACAAAAAGAAGGATCAAAGTCCTTCTGTTAAGAGGAATCTTTAGAGACATAATGCATGAAAACATAAAACTCAATGGCTATATAGCCATCGGCGTCATAGTTTCAATGGATATGATGGTGCTATCATCCGTAAGGTCTTCATCTCTCTTCATCCGTAAGGTCTTCATCTCCAACCTCTAGAGAGAATGATGAAGAAGTTCCAATTGATTGAACTTCTTCACTTGTTTCTTGACAATCTTGAGACTTTCTTAATCCTTCTAGTTCCAAATATACTTGTTTCATTGTTGGCCTTTCTTTCCCATTTGATCTTAAACATTTTGTGGCAAGTGTAGCAACACTGTTAACAACGTCCATACTTTCTTGTGCGGCTACTATAATATCTAAAATTTCAACAAGCTGATTAGCCTTTTCCAGTGAAATGAAATAGTCTAACAAATTTCTACCATCATCTCTTGCAAAAGTAACAGGTATCTTCCCAGTTAAAAGTTCCACCATCAAGACTCCAAAACTATATACGTCACTCTTTTCAGTGTATTGACTTGATCTGAAATATTCTGGATCTATATATCCAAAAGTTCCCAATACTTTTGTAGTCAAATGTGATTGATCACATGACACAAATCTTGATGTTCCAAAATCAGAAACTTTTACACTGTAGTTATCATCCAAAAGTATGTTTAAGGATTTGATATCTCTATGATAGATAGGAATTGAAGCTGCAGAATGCATGTAAGATATAGCTCCCGCAACTTCATAAGCGATTTTGAGACGAGTTTCCCACGAAAGAGAAGGTGATTCTTCAAGATTTTCCTTGTGAATATGGTGTGAAAGCGTCCCATTAGAAACAAATTCATAAACTAATAAAGGATACTCGGTTTCTAAACAGCAACCAAGAAGCCTAACGATATTTCTGTGATTAATTTGAGATAGGATAATAACTTCATTAATGAACTGTTCGATCCAGTTTGTGTCAATTTGCTTTGACCTTTTGATTGCAACAACAGTGTTATCATGGAGCATTCCTTTGTAAACTGTGCCATACCCTCCTTGACCAAGAAATCTACTTTCGTTGTAGTTATCTGTTGCTTGTTCAAGTTCTTCCTGTGTAAATATTTTTACTCTCTCACTATCTTCAAGTAGTTTTTGTTGCATTAAGACGCCACCATTTTGCTTGAAAAACTTTTTCTTATAAAGTTTGAGTCTTCTTTTCTTCAAGAATAGTTGATTTCCCTTGCATCCGCAGAAGAAACAACATGATAATATCATTAGACCACCTTCATTGCCAATAAAAGGATGATCATGTTAGTATAATCAAACAAAATAATAATAAAAATAGATTTAAACACCAGAGAGAGATAGACCTATTGGAATAGAGACGTAGTATATGAAAATAGACGAAAGCTGCTGGGCCAAATCACTAGAAGGACTGTTTCTACAGTAGGGGTTGTATGAGTCAGGGTGTATTCTGCAAATATCAGTTTGGTTCAATGGAACTAAAATAGGCGTAAATGGGTAGATTCGACTTGTATTCGAAAGCTTGTTTGCTTCCAAGACGCTGTGTTCCTCAACCCCAAAATCCCTTGCAACAGATCCAATGCTCTCATCTGGTTGTAGCATATACACATACAAGGCCTTGACCCCGTTAGCTTCTTGAGCTTTGGTAGGGCAAGCACATCGCAACGGAACTTGGAGTATCATGTCAATTGAAGAAGTATTATCAACAGCATAGTCCTGCTGATTTTGGCTTTTCAGTGCAGAGCAGCTCACTAAACCTTGGTAGATATCGTATGCTATTTTCTCATAACTATCACCGCGCTTAATTGTGTAGTAGGAGATGGTCCGATAGGAACGTCGCACACATGAGCATGAAATACTAGTAGCAAACAAACTACCGTTGTTTAATGTTGTTTTGTAGACATAACCTGCGAAGAGATCGCTTATCGTGGATTGTGTATCGTAGGGCGGCTTGGATCTGAAGGTCAAATAAGAGGAAGAACATGAGTATATTGAATCAATGCAAACGTACCCTTTTGGTGTTGAAGTGGTATTGTTAGAGCAATTGGTCTCGTTTCCCACATACGACTGTTGGCAGAGGGATTGACGTAGAAAGAGAGAAAGAAAGAGGAAAACAGGAAGGGCTGCCATTGTTTAGATGCTACTTCATATGGGTTGCTACAACAATTTATCCTTTTTTTCTTTATAGTAGAGGCCATGTTTACGTTGATTGTTGGAAATAATTGAGGGAAAATTATATTTTGAAGAATTCTAAAGTATAGAAATGTGTAGGATATGGTCTATTTTTTGCCCAGTCAACTTGTTGATAATAGATTCTTTGTTGTCATTATGATTATTCTCACCTAATCAAAATCTACTTAGATGACCTACCTTGCTCTTCAAATGCATGTTGTTACTCTATTGAACTCGTCTCTTACTTTGGCTTTTATATCACAAATCTTTAGATGAACATTATTTTAATATTGCTAACGAATAGGCTAGCAAATATATGCTGGTGCAACTTGCCTAGGTAGATGTTACAAAGACAAACATTGCATTGTAAGCAGTCACTACTACATCTACGAGCTTCAATGATAGTTGAAATTTTTCACGAATTGATTTAGTGACCGCTTTTAAAAGTTATTGAATGCACATCAAGAAAAGAGAAAACGTAAGAGTTAATGAAAAACTGTCATTAATACATTAACAATGACAATTAAAAATGTCAAAAATGATCTTTGATGACAATTAAAAAACGTCACAAAAACATGTTTCATGATAGTTTATAATGGGTCAATAAAATAATCAAAAGGTCCGTAGTTCTATCCAGAAAAGTTTAATGACAACAATTTATAATTGTTACCAATTTTTTTTAATGACCATTTATGAACGTAAAAAAAATCGTAACAACGATTGTTATAATCGTCGCGAAAACTATTACAGTGATAATTTTAACCGTCAATAACGACAGTTTTAACCGTCATAAAAACCTGTATATTGACAGTATTTAATGATCATGAAAATCTTTATATTGATAGTTTTCACTATTACGAAAATAATTATATTGATAGTGTAAAACATGCCAAATTTATTAATTATAACAATTTTTTTTTCTGTTTAGAATTGTGTTTAGTAAAAGTTTGCAACGTTATGAAAAGTTTATATACGACAATTTTGTAGGTCAAAAGAAATATTTCCATGACATTATAGTTTAGTGTCACTGTTAGGGGTTAAAAATAGTTTTGCCATTGTAGATTATAGGAAAGTTGGATGGCTAGGTCTTCCTCTGAAGACTCAGAGGAATGTCCGACATTCATACTTAGCCTTGAAATCATCGAATATTATTTTGTTTGACTAAAGGTCTTGCCATCTTCAACCTTGTCTATCCAATAGGTTAACCTCCGACAACGAACTATCGATAGCGCAAATCACTAGTCAGACATTCAACGTATAAATAGAGGGTTTCAGTCCAGGTATATCGTATTCTAGCTGGGTCTTAGTATCAAGGTCAAACTTATATTAACTTGAATATCATAATTTTTGTCTATCTTGTGCAGATCATTTATTGCCGAGTAACACTAAAGCTCGTCTCAATCGCCTACTCTAATCATTTCCGACCTGCACCATAAATGTGCATAAACATTTGGTGCAACAGTAGGAAAAGTCAATCCTCCTATTTAATATTGACTGAGGAATGATATTAAGTTTCTAACCTCTAACTATGACATTTGATAGCTTCCATCTTAAAATCAGAGTTTCCAAAAATAAATTGATTCAAATAGTTTTTAAAATTTAACTAGTATTTTTAACGTGTTTCACGTCGAAAACTAAAAAATTTATTAGCCTGCGTTTGATAACAAATTTGTTGTTTTTATTTTATGTTGTTGAAAATTAGGTCACAATTTTTTTTATATGTTTTCACATTTTTCAAACACACATTTGAACAACTTAGCCAAATTTTAAAAACAAAAAATAATTTTATGAAAGCTACTTTTGTTTTTTTAGTTTTCAAACTTTTATTTAGATTTTTAAAACAGTTTCAAAAAAGAAATACAGAACAAAGAAATAAATAGATGAAGTTTAATTTTTAAAGTCAAGAGTATCAAAATCAAAATGGTTACCAGGTCTCAGTAATTAAAGAAGTTCATTCTCTAAATGTAAAAAATTATCAACATCATTAAAAATCACACCTTAGAATACTTTTTCTTTAATACACTTGTCAATTTATGAATTAATATTCACGTGTGTTTATTTGTATTGAAAATTATATTGACATTTTAAAATACTAGTGTATTACCATGCACGTAATTTTTTTTTAATTATAAGGTAACTTAAATTTTATATAATTTCACGTAAAATATTTTAAGTATAATTATTTTTAAAAATAATTAAGATTAATTTTTATATATATTTATTATTATTGACAGCTAATTACTAATAATAAAATGTACTATTTATAATTATTTTTTAAATATACTATTTATAATTAATTGTTAATGATATATTTTGTAAATGAATAAATTAAAAGTAAAGGAAAAAATTATATATTAATAAAAAAGTAAATAGGTATTTTAATATTTTTATTTTTAAATTATTTCAACCTAATATGGGTCCTTTATTTTATTTTTTTTAATATTTTGTTTGTTTATTAAATATTTGTTTAGAGCTGACATTTTTTTATATATGTTGAATTTTTTAACTAAATATAAATTATTTTATTGATTTAATTTTATATTATAATTAAAATTATTAAAGAAAAATTCTTCAAATTATATTATTAGAAAATAAAATGACCAAAAGTTTTATATTCCACCTTTTAAGATTCTATACAAATTATTGTTTATAATTAATTTATTAATTAAACATTTTTTTATGTATTGACTTCTATGATTGTTTTTTTTTTCCAACAATAAGAACATGAGCTTGTAATTATCTATATTTTAAACAAATATTCTAAATAAAATTGCTCAAAAAAGAAACATTCCAAAAAAAAAGTACACTAAACAATAAAAAAACATTAGTAACAAAAAGAAAAATCCAAATCCTAAACTAAATAAAATTACTAAAAAAAGAAACATTCCAAATAAAAAACACACTAATTAGAAAAATAACAATAGTAACAAAAAAAAAATCCAAATACTTACTATACACTCATCTTTTAGAGTAAATATGCTCATTCTTGAAGATTGCTTGACATATACTATTATTCAACTTTGTAAAATTGTGGAATGGTAATGTCACAAACCTAGTATTCGAGATATGTAGATTCAACATATGCCTCCCTTGCAACTTGATGAATATGTCACAAATATCTCGAGATGTTTTCATGATTGAATCATCTTTGAGAGATGTTTGAAGGAACTAATAATAAAAAAGTATTGAAACTTGTGAAAAACATGTAGAAGAAAACCTATTTTTATAGTAGTAGAGGATAAAACGTTACAAAAGCTTTTCAAATTCTAAAACTCTTGAAATTCTAGTATGAATTTTAATTAAAAAAAAATTAATTTTATGTTGTTGGAAAACTTTTTGCATTCTAACCTTTTATATTCCATGCATTTACAGTATGGATAATTAATAATTAATAATTAATTTAATATTTGTAATAATACATTAATCGTATAATTTGTAATTTGTAAATTTAGTAAAGGGTAAAAGTGTCCAAAAATGTTTTTCCTACATCCTACCTTTTTGATATAGTATAGATGAATCTACTTCTCTATCTAAATTAGACTTTGTTTTAGAATACATTTATAATGATTTTCGAATCGGTCTATTGAGGCATATAATATGGTGGATGAATTTTATATAAATTGTAATTACCTTTAAATAATATTCTAATTACCTTTAAATAATTAACCCTTGATATATCTCTCCCAACAGTATGGAATCTGTTAGAGTTAATTTCTTACTGATCATTTATTATTAAGTGATTTGTTATGAAGTAATCAACATTAATTAACTCCTTTATTAAATCTGTTTGTTGTTTTAGTTGGTCCAAATGGAACCAACCCTAAAACCCCCTATATAAGCATCATGATGAAATCTAGAGAGTAGATTTTTGTTAGAGATTTTGGTTTCTCCCCCTCATTGCCCTGAAACCAAAGAGAAGGTAAGGGTGCATGCTTTCCTTGTCACCATTAGAAAAAAGAAGGGCTCCGTTGGAAGAATTGAACCCATGCCGGAGAGACGACACCGCCACCCATCGATTGAGTCGAGTGGGTTTGGCCACCATAAGGTGTTTTTTGGCGATCTTCGACATCGTGAGGGTTTGTTTTCGGTGTTCTTGGAAAGATCTATATCATCTTTGTATTTTCTCTTGAATCTTTCGTTTGATTTCTTAGATCCGGCATTGTTGTACCTATTGCATGTTTCTGTTTGATCTCTAATAATATTGACTAGCAAAGATCTTATAATCTTTGCAAGTGGAGTAGGTTGTGAAAATCAAACCACTATAAATCCTTGTGTTTCTTGTTCTTTTACACTTACATATACTTTCTTTGGTTATTCTGATGAGCATCAAGTCATAAAGAATATTATTACTGTAATTTTTAGGATTTAAACGGATATTTTCACAGCCGTAAAATTACTGTATAGACGATAAATCGCCCAAAGATCATTAAAATCGATAGTTAAAATTACAAAAATTGGTATCAGAGTTTTAGATAATTTTTCTGATCTTGTTTCTTTATTTTTAAATCAGTTTCTGCCAAAATTTTTTAGACCTTTTAGTTATGTATTTTTCCTATTTTGTTTTGGTTGCTGCTCTCTCTGTTCTTTTTATTTCAGAATGAGTACGCGCTTTGAGGTGGAACGATTTGATGGTAATGGAGACTTCGATCTCTGGAAAATAAAGATGATGGCGATCTTGAGATAGCTGAAGGCAGACTACGCTTTCATGGATAAGAAGGATGTCCCTGATAGCGTAACTCCGGAGGAACTAAAAGGGATGAAGAAACTTGCCCATAGCTTGTTGATTCTTCATCTATCGGATAGTGTTCTTCGACAAATGAGAGGTGAAGATACTGCAGGTAAGCTTTGGGGTAAGTTGCAATCTACTTATCAAATAGCATCAGTATCAAATAAATTGTATCTTAAATCTAAGATCATTAGCTTTAAGATGGAGTTGAATAAAAGCAGGAAAGAAAATC